GAGAAGAAGAAGTAGAGATCGCCGGGCTCAAGCTGAATTTGCATCCGGGGGATATCTTGCTCAGCGACATATTGGCTAAACGTACCTTCGGTGATATATTCCTGCACGGCGGGTGTCCAAGGACAGTTGTAGAGGAAGGGTTCTCCACTTTCACCTTCTTGTTCGGAGTTCTGGAAGCACATCACCCCAGCCAACTGATGCTGGAACCGAGAGACCGCATAATGGAACAGCTTCTGCCGCTTTGCTACGGAATCAAAGTGCGGTCCGTGTCCTATGTCGGCATGGTAGACACGAAAAACGGCAGGACCATAGAGGCGTCCGTCCGGCTCACGAGCGGTCATCACTCGCTTGTCCGGTGCCAGACATGACAACATCTCGTAGAAGGTCTTCACTGGATCGTCGTACCCGTTGAACAAGGTTTTGAAAAGTTCGTGGGTGTCAGCGGCGTAGCCGAAGAATTTTTCGGGATCGGCATTGTACCTAACGAAAGCGGGACCAACGTACACAGGTCTCTTACTGTCTTCATCTTGTGAGGTTCGTATGCCAAGCCACGTTCATAAAGCCGCTCTACGAGACCCGCGCAGTGATCCGGATTGAAAGCTTGGCGGAGGACAATCGCCGGTACTTCACCCGATACCAACGCATTGAGAGGCTTGGGATATTTTTTTAATATTTCTTGTGGACTACCTTCAGCGGGTGTCCACTCATGGGGTACTGTCATCAAAACCTTCCTTCAAATAATGGTATGAGAGCGTCACAACACGGATTTTTCAAAGGTTAAAATAGGACTAAGGATCAGCAGGGACTACGCAACGAAAGCCAACGTAACTGAGCGTGACCGCCGGCTCGTTGCTGTTGCGGTACGCCACGCGAAGGATCTCTGGAGTGCTGTGCCATGAACCGCCGCGAAGTATGCGACGTTCTGTAATACTGGTGAAGTTATCAGGCATGAATAGTGTAACTCCACCTGACACCGGGTTCTCTCTTGAACTGTTTTCGTAAAACTCTACATCCAATTCGTCTATGCACCACTCCCATACGTTTCCAGCGATTTCGTATAACCCGTAGTCATTCGGAGGATATATACCTACAGGAGCAGTCGTTTGGTAGCCGTCGTCGGCGTTCTGATCTGACCAAGAATAGCTCGTGTGCTTATCCGCAAAGTTGCACTGACTCCCATCAGGGTCATCATCTCCCCACGGATAGCGCTCTCCAACCTGCCCACCGCGGGCGGCTTTCTCCCATTCCGCTTCGGTCGGCAAGCGTTTGCCTGCCCACTGGGCATACGCCGCTGCACCGTACCAACTCACTTCAACCACGGCATACTCTTCAAACCCTGCTTTCAGTCGGTATTGCCCCCCAACCCATTCGATCATCTCATCACCGTCACCGATATCCAACCAGATATGACCGGTATCTCCGACATGCTTTCCCACCGCATTTAGGAACTTAGCGTACATCGCGTTGGTCACTTCGTAGACATCAATATAAAAATCGTCAAGGAAGACGGTGTGGACGGGGCGTTCGTAGGTAGTACCTTCGTTGAAGGGGTCACCCATCTCAAACTCTCCCGCAGGAATCAATACCATTTCCGCCATGTCTTTACCGACAATGCTGTCGGAAGCATCTCCATTCTCTTGCTCATCACTCCCACAGCCTAGCCATAGTAGAGCAAGCAAGATGAGAAGTAACCCCATACTATACGCAGATTTTCCACCAGAATCTTCGCGCATTAAGCTATTCTCCCGTATAATTAGTTTTGACTGACGTGTTGAGGTGTGAAGCCTGCTCTTCAGTGAAACAAAGAGCGAGCGATTCTTTGGGGTGAGCGCATATCGTGATGCTAGGGAGGAATTGCACTCCCTAGCGACTTATTGATAAATACGACTTCGAGGGGTAGCAATATGGTCTGATTTCATCGGACGGGCACTGTCATCAACTTTGACAAGTCCCGATTCTGCGAAATCATTCCGATTTTTACGGAATGGTGAATTAACGACAGCGTAAGTTTTTAGCCACTTACGCCGCCAGAATTGAGAATATAGTGGGTTAGTTGAATTGTGGGTGTAAGGCATCTTCACCGAAAATAGTGGGGAGAGGCTGACCATCGTTGGTCCTGGCCGCAGCATCTATATAAGCGACGCTGAATGCCCGCCGCGGCAAACCGGTCTCATTCACCGCGGACGTGTGAATCAGGCTGACGTGCAGCAATACCCCCTCGCCCGGCTGTAATTCAAGGGTGACGGGATCTGCCACCGCGAAGAGGGCTTCCAGCTGTTCTTCCGTGGGGAAGTTTCCTTCATAGACACGGTGATGAGATTTGGGAATTACTCTGAGACAGCCACTATCGAGGGTCGCAGGATCGAGCGCCGCCCAAATGATAATGTCTGAAAGTGTGTCAAGGTTCCGAAATACATCCTGATGCCAAGGAAGGTGAGTTCCTGTGTCTGCCGGCTTATTCATAAACATTGCACGCGGGGTAGAAATCGGGGTAGAGGGGCCGTAGGCTCTAGCACAAATGTCCCGGAAGGCGGATTTTTGCATATACGACAGAAAGAATGGGTCAAGCTCAAGTTCCGTGATTTTACGATAATTTAAACTCGGACCTTTGTGTCCCTTGCTCATTGGTTCCATCTTACTGTAGTCGCTGGTCTTACCATCGAGTTGCATCATTAGCTGGTCGTAGGGGAGTTTGGCTTTGCCCATCATTATGTCATCAACGCGCTTCTGTAAAGTATCGAGTTCTTCATCGTCCATCACTCTACCGAGAACGAGATAGCCTTCCTCCTTGAATTGCTGCCATTGACTGTCACTGATTGATTGCATCATTTGTGAATCCTCCTAATCTTAACATTGTCAAATCGCACATCGCAACATAAGCCCTGATAGTCTTGTCGACTGTGCATCGCTAAATCCACAGCACATTGTTGAGAATTGGTTTGAAGTTGGTACTCCAAGCTGAAGGTGGATGGTTGACATTACTTGTCTGACTGTTCTGGAATTCGGTCAAAATATATTTTGAGTTTCGCTTTATTACGGAGTTGAGTGTGCAAGTTATTCGTAAGTGCCTCGCGCATTTCCGTTTGGGTGTCCGCTGTCATTATCCGCCGGACCTCTGAGTCGTCAAGTGTTCTTTGGCGTGCTGGGTTATGTTCTTCTTTCCGGAAAATTGTGTAGTATTGTCTGCCTTGAAAGCTGACAGTCATGATATCATCAACGGTTTGTCCCACTTCCATTGCAAAGGCAGCGTCAGTAAAGGCTTGCTGCTCTTTCGGAAAGGTGTCTCGGGTCAGGTAACCGGTATCGCCGGGGTTGAGGGGATCCGCCCCGGGACCGGTCAGTTCTCCACTATCTGACAACGCCTTCGCCACTTTGACCATATCTTTGCCCAACTGAATAGACTCAAAAACCTCCTTCGCGCGATCACTTTCCCTAAGCGTAATACAGGTTAACCTCACCTGCTCCTCTTCGGCAAACTCGCTTTTATGTGTTTCATAGTAGGCTTGTATATCTTCCTCTGTCACTTGGACTTTCTCCTCAACTTCAATTTTCCAGAGTTTATTGGCTAGCATCATGTGGAGATGCCTTCGGTTTTTTCTCTGGATTTCTGGTTCGTCTTCGAGTTTCCGAGCTTTGGCGAGACAGAGTATTAAGCGACCTTCTGCCATCAAGGTCACGTATTCTTCAAGGCGCGCTTTGTCTTTATAGCGTTCCGGTGTATACTCTGAGAGTTCACGAATGTCCTGTATCATTTCAGCAAGCGTAATCTGCTGCTTTCCGTTGCAATCAAACTCTGCAATGACAATACTTTCCGCGTTTGTCACCGGTTCCTCTTGGTTCAGCACTGTTTCAGGAACCCGTTCCGGGTAGGTTTTCAGTTCACTTGCCGAGGTGACTTCTGCCACCCATTCAATGATTCGCTGCCGCTTTTTTTCACGTTTAACGGAGGGTTCAATATAGTCTCTGACCTCCTCAAAGTCGGCTATGCGTTCCGGTATGTGCTCCTCCTTGCGGAAAATGAGGTAGTACGTTTCGTGATCCATCTCAAGTTCAAGGATTTCTTCCGTGATTTCGCCAACTTCCATATCAAAAGCGGCATCAACAAAAACCTGCCAGTCTTGGGATTCGTCCTTAGTAAAGAGCCCGGTGTTCCCCGGATTCACTTTGTTGCTGCCAGGACCAAACAATTTTTCTTTTTCCGACAGCCCTTTTGCCAGTTCGCTGATGTCTACTCCAGCTTTGATTTGCGTCAATGCCTCTTGTGCGAGTGCTTTCTCCACAACACTGATGCAGGTTACTCGTGCTGCCTCTTCGACGTATTCCGATTTGTGTGCTTCGTAATACTGTCGCCGGTTCTCCTCCGTGGGAGAGACCTTTTCATCGACTTCAATTAGCGTCAGGCGCTCGATTAAGAGCGTATGTTTGTATTCCCGCGCCTTCTTGAGTAACACTTCATCTTTATCCAACCCCTTATCTATAGCTGCGAGGACTTTCAGTTTTTCATCAATGAACTCCGGCAGGTATTCTGTCTTTCCGGCTTTACTTGCGTAGTTTTCCTGCTGGAAGATCGATAACTCTCCAATCGCCGCCTTGAAATCCGCAAGTGAAATCTCGAAATTTTTGCCGTTCCATTGATATTCAGCCAAGATAATCTGACTTTCATCAATAGATTCGATAACGGAATCTGTTTGCTGCGACTGAGCAATCTGCCAACCCCCTATGTTAATTGCTACAAGCCCAATCAACATAATCAACGTTTTTTTCATTCGCAGATTTCTCCCCTGAACGTCTGGTCGTCATTCTGATAATATTGACAAATGTGGACGATGAGACGTTCAGATAAAAAATTGCGGCGAGAAATCTGCACGAATGAATTCGGCAAGTTCCTCACCGCAATTTGTTGTGAAAGCGAACCTCCAAATTCAGCCCGCTTTCCTACTATTTGCATATCTTCTTAAGTGTAAAACTTGGACAACGGAAAAATCTCTAACACGGTTTCGTTAATTCCTGGCAGCTTTGAGACTCCCCCAGGTGAGAGGAAGTTTTCCCTTCGATTCAACGGCTAAAAACTCTCCGTCCATCAACATTTGAAGTTCATCGTTCGTCAAATTTCGTTTCATCAGGAAAAGTTCATCAAACTCACCATCCCAGAAACGCTCCTCCTTAAACCGACCAATTTCCAAATTGGCGGGGGTATTAGCGGAACCAGGTGCTGAGCCCGCGTCATCCTTATGGTCTAGTTTGCCATCAATGAACAGTGAAACCGTTTCTTTGTTTGTACGCATTGAAGCGACATGGTGCCATTGGTTATCTGAAATCTCAGTTTTGCTACCAATCTCACCACCGAAGCCGACGGGTGCGGGTATGTGGTAGCGGGTAAAGAGTAATTTATCCTTTAGCTTGATATACCAGCCACCGCCATCCCACTTAATATAGACAAATCCCTGACCCACCTCTTTGCCAGTCTTACACCAAGCAGCGAGGGTGGTATCAGATTCAGCGAGATCCAAAGCCGGAACATCTGCCACGAACGCCGACTGCTCTTTCCCGTCTACAAACGAAAGGCAGGTTCCAAATTTTTTATCTACGGAATCCACCCACGCTGGGTTACCTTCAGTTTCCCCCTCTAGCTTGTTGGGACCGAGGTCTGCTATTATATCCCCGTTGCCTTCATCCAGAGGGAAGTAGAATACGAGGAGCGGGTCATCCAAATTGGATCTGGCTATATCCCAAGGATGGCAACAAGCCTATCAAAAAGATAACGACCAGGACGCTGATTGGAAATCTCTTCAACCTTTGCATTTGAATATCCTCCTGTTTGCGATTATTACAGAAATCTGCATATGCCGACACACTGTCCGCACGAATGGCGATCCGTTTGCGAATCTCATCAACCAACCAAAGTTATGCTGATTGACCAGACCGCTGCGAATCTGCTCATTCTATTGCAAATTTCTGAAGATTATTACATCAAGAATTAATTATAATACTAAAAATAAAATATGTCGATCTAAAATTTAATTTTTTCTTGACATGTATTTCATAGATGTGATACGATGGATTTAACTTTTTTTAGGTGTTTTAATTGTAAGGGTATTGTCAGATTTTAAAAGGGAGGGATTGAAAATGAGAACGTTTATTGCGGTAATTTTCATCACCACGTTTTTGGTCATGATAGTTCTTTCTGCTTCGGCGGCTATAGATCCGAACATGATTTTGTGGTTTTCGTTTGACGAGCAGATCGACGGAAGACAGGTCGAAGACTTGACCGGCGGTGGTAACAATGGGAAACTCAAGTTGGGTGCCAAGCTTACCGACGTGCCCGAGGAGATTTACAAGGGAGCAGGCGCGGTTAAATTCACTAACATTAGTGCTCAGGTCCGCGTCGAGCCCTTTAAGCGAATGAATGAGTATAACGAGCACACCTATGCCTTTTGGATCTATATCTTTAGCAACACCGCTAAACCTTGGAATTGGGAACATTGTGGTGCTGTTCCCTGCGGAGAAGGAAGGGCAAGCATTATGGAAAAGGGCAATATTTTAGAGGGTGCTGTGAAAGGTTGGGCACCGGGCATCTTGATTCAAGAGGAGCCACTAGCCCTTATATATCAATTTCAAGATAAAGGCGGTGGCGGGCTCCAAGGGGCTTTAGGTGCAAAGGGAATAGTCGGTCCCGGTGGCAACGGCACCGAGTTTGAGTTTAAGAAGTGGTATCACATCGCGGGTGTCAAACAGGCAGCCGAATTAATAATCTATGTCGACGGTAAAGAGCAGGGCAGATTTCCTGCTCCAAGAGAGTTCGTTCAGGGTGAAGCACTACTTCGTCTCGGTGGAACGCGGGAACGCTCCGCCCATTTCGCCATGGATGAATTTTCCCTTTATGATCGGGCCCTAACCGACAAAGAGGTGGAGTTGGACGCCAGAGGCGTACTTCTGTGGGTTGAACCCGAAGGAAAACTGACAACCACTTGGGGCGATATCAAAGTCAATCGTTAACCGATGAGACTTCTGATAATATTAAACAGTTAGCTTAAGTTAAGTGCCATTCAACCTAAATCGATATAAAAGGAGGAATTGAAAATGAAAAAGTTTATTCGGGTAATTTTCATCACCACGTTTCTGCTCATTACGGTTCTCTCTGCCCAAGCAGCTCTGGATCCGAACATGATTTTGTATTTCTCGTTTGATGAGCAGCTTGATGGAAGGAAGGTCGAAGACTTGACCGGCGGCGGTAACGATGGGAAACTCAAGTTAGGTGCCAAAATCACTAACGACCCTGCGGAGGTTTACAAAGGAGCGGGTGCGTTAAAAATTTTCAACAACATCAGCGCTCAGCTCCTCGTCGAGTCTTTTAAGGAAATGGATAACTATAAAGAGAACACCTACACCTTTTGGCTCTACATATACGGTGTCAGAGATGATGCGTGTTGTCCAGAGGAAATTATTCTACAAAAAGCCCACCTTTTAGTTGGTGATGTGAAAGGGAACGCGCCGGGCATCTTTCTGACCGATCCGGGTCTATCGCTTACATATAAATTTGGCGACCAAGGAGCTGTACTGGGGGACGGGGTCGGCCCCGGCGGCAAGGGTGAAAAGTTTGAACTGAACAAGTGGTATCACATCGCGGGTGTCAAAAAGGCATCAGACCTAATAATCTACATCAACGGTAAGCAAGAAGCCATATATAACGCCAAACAAAATTTCATCCAAGGTAAGGGGCACCTTCGTATCGGCGGATCGCGGATCCGAGCTGCTTCTTTTGCCATGGATGAGTTTGGGCTTTACAATCGCGCCTTAACCGAAAAAGAGGTGGAGTTGGATGCCAAGGGACAATTCCTGTCGGTCGAACCCGAACGAAAATTGACTACTACCTGGGGGCATCTCAAAACGGGGCGTTAAACGATAGAACTCTGATAGTATGTTAAGCAGGAGGCACTCTATTTTAGCCCCGAAGGATAAAATCCGTCGGGGCTATATTATTTGAGACTGAAGAATAGCCTTGACTTTGGTAGGTCGCCGGTGGATCTGCTGATATCTGTTATTTAGATGTGTGTGATTTAACTGGCTAAAACTCAATACCAAGGGAGGAATTGAAAATGAGAACGTTTACTGCGGTAAGTTTCTTCACCATGTTTCTAGTCATGACGGTTTTTTCTGCCCCGGCGGCTATAGATCCGAACATGATTTTGTATTTCTCGTTTGATGAGCAGCTCGATGGAAAGAAGGTCGAAGACCTGACCGGCGGCGGTAACGATGGAAAACTCAAGTTGGGTGCCAAAATCACCAACGAACCCGCGGAGGTGTACAAAGGGACGGGGGCGCTAAAAATTTTCAACAACATTAGTGCTCAGTTCCGTGTGGACGAGTTTGACCGAATGAATAAGTATGGTGAGCACACCTACACCTTTTGGCTCTATATATACGCGTCAGAAACGATCCGTGTTGTGTACAGGGAAGTGTTGTGGAAAAGGGCCACGTATAGGGCGCTCACAAAGGTCACTCACCAGCCATCTGATTACCGATCCCGGTCTATCGCTTATATATAAATTTGGCGCCGAGGGGGCTTTAGAGCTTGATGCGGTCGGACCCGGCGGCAAGGGTGAAAAGTTTGAACTGAAAAAATGGTATCACATCGCGGGTGTCAAACAGGGAGGCAGCCTGATAATATACATCGATGGCAAAGAAGAATCTAGACATAAGGTCCAACGGGATTTTGTCCAAGGTAAGGGGCACCTTCGTATTGGCGCAACGCAGATACGATCCGCCTCTTTTGCGATGGATGAGTTTCAGCTTTACGATCGCCCCTTAACCGAAAAAGAGGTGGAGTTGGATGCCAAAGGTATACTTCTGTCAGTCGAGCCCGAACGAAAATTGACAACCACCTGGGGGCGTCTCAAAATGGATCGTTAACCGATAGAACTCTGATAGTATGTTAGGCGGGATCCACCCTATTTTAGCCCCGATGGATTTTTATCCGTTGGGGCTATACTATTTCAGAATAGACACTTATCTTGACATTGGTAGACTTTCGGTAGATCTACCAATGTGTGCTGTTTAATTAACTAAAGTTCGGTATAAAAGGAGGAATTGAAAATGAGAACGCTTATTGCGATGAGTTTCATCACCCCGTTTCTATTCATGACGGTTCTCTCTGCCCAAGCAGCTCTGGATCCGAACATGATTTTGTATTTCTCGTTTGATGAGCAGCTGGATGGAAGAGAGGTCGAAGACCTGACCGGCGGAGGTAACGATGGGAAACTTAAGTTGGGTGCCAAAATCACCAACGAACCAGAGGAAATTTACAAAGGGGCAGGGGCGTTAAAAATTTTCAACAATATCAGTGCCCAGTTCCGCGTGGACGAGTTTGACCGAATGAATAAGTATGGTGAGCACACCTACACCTTTTGGCTCTATATATACAGCGTCAGAAATGATCCGTGTTGTGTACAGGGAAGTGTTGTGGAAAAGGGCCACATTATAGACGGTGCTCACAAAGGTCACTCACCAGCCATCTGGATTACCGATCCCGGTCTATCACTGATATATAAATTTGGCGCCCAAGGGGCTGTAGGTGTTGAGGCGGTCGGACCCGGCGGCAAGGGTGAAAAGTTTGAACTGACCAAGTGGTATCACATCGCGGGTGTCAAACAGGGAGGCAGCCTGACAATCTACATTGACGGCAAAGAAGCAGCTAGATATAAGGTTAACCGCGATTTCGTCCAGGGTAAGGGGCATCTGCGTATTGGCGCAACGAACATACGATCCGCCTCTTTTGCGATGGACGAGTTTCAGCTTTATGACCGTCCCTTAACCGAAAAAGAAGTAGAGTTGGATGCCAAGGGCATACTCTTGTCGGTCGAGCCCGAACGAAAATTGACAACCACCTGGGGTCGTCTCAAAACGGATCGTTAACCGATGAAACACCGATAGCATGTTAGGTGGAAGTCGTTCTATTTTAGCCCCGATGAATTTTTATCCGCCGGGGCTATATTATTTTATCTTGACTTTGGTAGGCTTCCGGTGGATCTGCCAATGTGCGCTGTTCAATTGACTAAAGTCCAATATCAAAGGAGGAATTGAAAATGAGAACGTTTATTGCGGTAAGTTTCATCACCACGTTTCTGTTCATTACGATTTTCTCTGCCCCGGCGGCTCTAGATCCGAATTTGATTCTGTATTTCACGTTTGAAGAGCAGCTGGATGGAAAGATGGTCGAAGACATGACCGGCGGGGGTAACAACGGCAAGCTGCGGTTTGGTGCCAAAATCACCAACGAGCCCAGCGGAGGTCCACAAAGGGGTAGGGGCGTTAAAAATTTTCAACAACATCAGTGCGCAGCTCCGCGTGGACGAGTTTAGCCGAATGGATAAGTATGGAGATAATACCTACGCCTTTTGGATCTATATATTCAATCCCATGGGTGCACGATCAAGTATCTTGAAAAAGGCCAACGTTTTAGTTGGTGAGGAGAAAGGGAGCGCGCCGGGCATCTTTCTGACCGATCCTGGTCTAGCACTTGAGTATAAATTTGGCGACCAGGGAGCTAATGCAGTCGGCCCCGACGGCAAGGGTAACGGGTTTGAACTAGAGAAATGGTATCACATCGCGGGCATCAAAAAGGCAAGCGACCTTATCATCTACATCAACGGCGAAGAAAAAGGCAATTTTAAGGTAAAACGAGACTTTATCCAGGGTAAGGGACAACTTCGTATCGGCGGAACGACGAGCCGAGCCGCCTCTTTTGCCATGGACGAGTTTCAGATGTACGATCGGGCCTTAACCGAAAAAGAGGTGGCGTTGGTTTTTAAAGGCATATTCTTAGTCGTCGAGCCACAAGCCAAATTGACAACCACTTGGGGCCGTATCAAAACCGGTTATTAGCCAATGATATTTCTGATACGGTGCTAGGCCCTCTCCTTGACCAAATCTTAGTCGCATTGGGCTTCAATAGCTAACATTTTCGTTACGGATTTCCGACATGGCGGCAATGTTGGAAACTTTAGTTCACCCAACCTAATCGGTCATAAAAGGAGAATTTGAAAATGAGAACACTTATTGCGGTGAGTTTTATCACGATGTTTCTGGTCATTACGGTTCTTTCTGCTCATCGGCTCTAGATCCGGCGTTGATTTGTACTTTCACGTTGTGATCTGAGCAGCTGGCATGAAAGTGGTCGATACCTGAGCGGTGGTGGCAACAATGGTACGTCTCAACTGGGTGCAAAACTCACCACCGAGCCCGCCAGAGGTTTACGAAGGGGCCGGTGCTTAAAATTCGGGAACCTCAGTGCACACTTCCGCGTCGAAGAACTTTGACCGCATGATCGGTATCAGATCACACCGTCGTCTTTTGGATCTATTTCTTAAAGGACTTGA